TGATGCATTATGTATTTGGTTATTTATATATCAGTATTTCGACTAATTTGAAAATATTTTTGTCACTCCTTCGTGATTCGAATTTTTGCAACGTTGAAAACGCGTTAAGAGATTTTGGTTAATGGAAATCTAAAATCTAAGTAAACATACGTAAATGAAAATCTACGAAGACATACGTAGACGATCATTTCGTAGATAAGACGAAAGATGATATTAGTCAAGTCTAAAATATGCCTTTTGAAGAGAAAATCCTGCAGAATCTTTGTAGAAAAATTCCTTATTGATACACCGATGCACGTATGCATTCATTGATCATGTACACGACGATGTATGTTGGCATGACGACTCGGTATGCGTAGTAAGCTTTTGACAAACCAATCCTGAAGTGGAAAGAACATGAAGTTTTGGCATGATCACCCCGTAGTGGAATGAACATGAAGTGTTTGGTTTGCCCACTCTGAAGTGGAATGCGTATAACCGCTCCATATGTATGCCACATGTCATTTGTAAGCCATTTGTATGCCACTTTGCCGCCTCGCAAAACTGCGGACATTTCGCGGTGCACTTCAAGTGCGCTGCCTGATCAGGCGCTGCGGATGCGGACGGTGCCAGCGTCCATAAGATGAAGTAGCGGAGGGTGGCTCAACATGTCGGCAGTTACAAGCATGGGAAAATTTTTGAAATTTTACCAAAAAGTTAGACAGAGAAACGAATAAAATCAATTACGTGTACAACGCGGATATCTAGTCAGCTACTATGTAAAATAGCGTTGGTAATTATTGGTACAAACAATCATTCAATTTCGATTTGTTTTTAATGAAGCGTGCAACTCGATGATGGAGGATGGATTCAGGAAAATTAATGGGTAATAATGACCAAATAGTAACGCACTTTCAAAGCATCGCAATTTGGACGAAGTCGCGCTTAATTATGTGAGTGTATTTCATGAGCAGTGGCATGAGTGTGTAGACGGCAAGTCATGAGTGTGTAGACGGCAAGTCATGAGTGTGTAGACGGTAAGTCATGAGTGTGTAGACGGCAAGTCATGATTGAAAAAGATGGTCAGCGGTTTTCCACATTTTATTTGATGATAAAATCAGCTGAACGGTAAATGGTCGTATGGTCTATTCATAAATTTTCTGCCCGGACCATCAATTATTACAAAAACTACTAATTTCAAGTCTTATGTACGGATTTTATGAAGAAAAAACTTTATTAATATACAAGGAAGAAATTGTGATTGAACTCATCTAGAAAAATCTAAACCAGAAATATTGGCGTCGATGACACATCGTCTCCTCTGATACGTCGAAAAGCATGACATCTTCCCATAGAAATTTCAAAAAGTGCAAATTATTTTGTCAATGAAGTCAACAGCGGTATATTTTGCTTGAACAGTTTTAAGTGAAAAAAATTTACTTAGTAGCTTCGTAAATATTACCGTCGAAAGTTTATAATCAGACCGATTATCTCATCTGAAGACCGTTCAAAAAAGCAGCAACACCAGCAGCAGCAACACCAGCAGCAGCAACAGCAGCAACACCAGCAGCAGCAACACCAGCAGCAGCAGCAGCCGCAACATAACACCAGCAGCAGCAACACCAGCAGCAAAAACACCAGCAGCAGCAACACCAGCAGCAGCAACATCACCAGCAGCAACTCCAGCAGCAGCAACACCAGCAGCAGCAACGGACTCTGCATTTCTAAATCATCCTGCGCTGGAAGTTTATCTCGCCTCAACAAAGGCTCATGGAAGAAACCATCGGTCAGTTACAGAGCTTTACGCCCTGAAAAAAAATGGTTCCGTAGCGAACAGCCAGCGCCGGTCATTCGGGCTCATTACGGCGGTCGCTTCACTGCCAGCGAATGCTGCTGACCATCACATCGTTTAACAAGATGACATATCGTGTCCACCGTATCGTGCACCGTATCGCGTCCACCGTCTCGCGCCTACCGTATTGTGTCGCCGTATCGCGCCCACCGTATTGTGATCGTTGGCCGCCGACTCCAACCTGTTATGTATTGTGGCCAACGCGACAATGCGGATGAAGGCCTTTGTAAAGTGAACATTGTCTTTGTCTCGACAATGCAGTGCGTCGCATTAGATGATAAAGAGAATGAGAATTCAGGAGCCAAGTTCATCCATGCAGTGGCCAATAAAGTCGGATTCAAATTTCTATGTTTCTGCACCTCTGTAAAGATCAGAAGATTTTCAAGCCTGATTGAAAAAAGGTCGTTTTATTCCGTGTAGATATTTTTTATGTGGAGTGGAAGAGTGTCTTTTATTCTTAATGTTTATACAGGTATTCATTAATTAGGATAATACTTCGGTCGAAACTTTGGCATGGAGTTTCTTGTGAAAATGCTGGTGCTCCTCTTGTTTGCTCAGAATTCTTGCTACTATACTTGAAAAATAAGTTCTTCAAGAATGTTCTAATCATACTAGCTATTCTTTGTAGAAACTTAAGCTGAAGATCATGAAAGTCTCTTGAAGTCTTGAGCACTTGATCTTTGGTCAAAAAAAGACCCAACGCAGAAAGTCTTTCACTTTTGGAAAATCTTGGCATCGCTGAAAGATCCCATTAATAAACCACAAGGATTAATTCATGTCCCATCCTATGTTGCAAAGCTCAGTAATTCTCATGTAATTATGAGGTGCCAACAAGAAGCCTATGAAATGTCCAAGCTTGAATTTAAAGCCGCTCTCAACGAGTTTTTAATATCTTTAATTAATCATTTGAAATGAGTTGATCACTTGGAAAAGAAGAGGGCAAAACAGCGAATACTGTTTATATTCTTCAGAACTTGGCATGTTTGTCTGGTGGTGGAGCAATGCCATAAGATGGTTCTTAGGACTAATAAAACTAATTTGCTTTTAAGAAACGCCCTGGATTTTTAAATGTTCATATTGGAAATATTCCACCTTATTATAAACTCATTAAATGGTCGTAGTATATTAGTTAAAGGGATAGTATTAAGCACGCGTATTATAGATTGCTTTATTGAATAGACTCATTTTATTATCATTTTTATTTCTTCAAACTTATAAACTTATGTCCGCCTCGATCATCGACAAGCCTCGCTCGTCAATTAACTCGCGCAACTCTTTATGAAGTCAATTGATAAACGTCAGTACAAACGAAATATATAAGGTGCATGTACCGACTTTCATTAACACTCGGACAATAGATTAATAAATAAGTTATATACAAATACGTCATTATCAACTTCCAGTTTAATAAGAAAAAGCCGCTAAAAAGCCGCTAAAATCATAAAATTACCCGAATCGTAAATGGTTAAGTTTGGCTATGTTTTATATAAAATTATCATTAAATGTTAATATGACACCACTTTTAAACCAATTATTTAAAAAAAATATCATCAATAAACTGATTCTTATTAATCATTCGCATAAGGTATAAGGTATAAAGGTCTCAATGTGCCCTTTGAATGTTGTTCACAGTTGAAAACCCACAAAGTTTAACACAATTTCAAATCACTTCGATGAGACTGTGATGTTCAGATGGATCTAAAAATACTTTAGAGCAGTATAGAGTGAGACATCTGGCCTATACGATTGCGTCCAGCCTGACGTTTTAAATCTTATGATGAAAGGATTATTCATCATGCTATACACTAAAGACATCTGCGTTCCAACACGCATCACTGCAACGTTCCAACGCTATTCAGTTCGTTGTTCCAACGCGTAATATCTCGACGTTCCAACGTACTGTACATCTTTATGAAATTCCGACACACATCTTTATGGCGTCCCAACACGCATCACCGTAACGTTCCAACGAGCATCACTGTAACGTTCCAACACCCATCACTGTAGCGATCCAACACTCATTACTGTAACGTTCCAACACCCATCACTGTAGCGATCCAACGGGCAGCCATGCAGCATTCCAACGCGCGTTCCCGCGAATTTGGGGGCTAGTGTAGCGATTATCAAATGCCACAATTACGTATTGCTGACCGAAGAACACATTAATTCCAAAGTACTTTGCTGAATGCCTTCCATACACATACTAATGAATAACTTTTATGTATGTATCAGTACATCATTCATTTACAAATCAGTATATTATTCAAGAATACACGTGTACAATAATCAGTAATAAACCTGTATAATATTCAAGAATAAATGAGTATGACATTGACGCATATATGAGTTTAAAATTCAGTCGATAAAAGAACCGGCACAAACTGGACGCGATAGCAGCGTTTTAATTTAGTTGCACCACATGCAAGTATGACCTTTTTCAGTTGTTCGCATATCAAAAAAATCAGACAGAACTTAAATTACTTCTACAACATGAACTCGAAGCGCACGAGAACCGATTAATGCATCTTTAAGTTATGCGTCATTAAAGTACACCTTCATATTTCATTCATTTGAAGTCTTATATACAATCTAATTGCAACACTTCCACGTATATAAGACCCCTGCCATGTTAGTCACTCGCCGACCACGTCTTAGTTTGGAGTCACGTTGATCTCCTCGACATTTATGGTTAATTTCTTATTATTGATTAATAACATATAATTTTTTTCGTTTATTTTGTCTCATGACAGTTTTCATATCATTAACGAGACTGTCTCTGTCGTAAACACTGTATGTCACTGTAAACACTGTATTAACGGGACACTCTGTCGTAAACACTCTATGTACCCTAATATCTACGCCAGACAAAGTAAACTGTCTACTTTTCAATTGGTCAGACTCATGTAGCACAGTATAAGTCAGGCCAAATTTGTAAACGTATGATACCATCAGCATGGTTGTCAGTGGTGGGAACGAGTTTTCATACTATATAGTGTCTACACTAATATTTTCTGCAGCGATTGATAAACTTGTCAATGTTATCTTTCAGATCATCAGGTAATTGAATACCATCATTCCTATGGTCAGGTTTAATTAACTAGTTGAGAAGTTCTTTAGATTGTTAGCAGCAGCAAATATTGTAGGACATCGCAGTATAAGTGCTACGGGAATGAAGCCTCGCCCATGGCTGTCAGGCGGGCTCTGCCTGGCGCTGTATCTCGCGCACTCGGCCGTCCTCGGCGACCACTCGCCGATCTCAGCGAGGTCTTTAGGTGAGTTAATTGCCTGCTTGTTGCTTCAATGTTCAGCTGCTATGCCATATCGTGTCTTACATTCAATTTTTAATGTAAACTGGGAGTATATTTTGCGCGATTTTAATTTTCTATGCATTGTTTTCCTTCATTCCAGAATGTGAAGTCCGAATTGTTAGATCACTTTTTATCACTGCTTATAAGCGTTTTTTTCTACAGCTGTAATTGCCTAGAAAATTAAGTTTATGTGAAATTAGATGATATTACAAATTAAAGTTTATGAAGGGAGATATTAAAACTTTTTATTCAAACTACCCTCATTGGAAGCTGATAGCGAACTGGATCCCTAACATGACTTGCGCGATTGTAAGCTAGTCAAAAAGAGATGAGTGAAGAGTTTATTTGTTCCACTTTATGAAACTAAAAGGGAGCATAATTAGCATTCAATTGATTAGCAATTAGGTAATTAAATCGAGACTGGGGCCGTTAAACTAGGGCAGTCGATTTCCTTCACAAAAGCCAAAGTTCTGGATAACACTCTGAATAACTTTATTATTATGAATAAGACCCTGAATTTCCTTCAGGTATAGCCAAAGTTATGAATAACACTCAAATGACCCAGTTTCTTTCCACCGTATTTTTCTTCAGTTTCTCCCCACCATAATTTGAACTTACTACTTACTTCACTTGTAATAACTGCATTTCATTTTGCAGCTTAGTGTTTTTGGCGCATCACAGCGAAGTTTTTAAAGAAATTAATTTAAAATCACAAACTCTGGTTACAATTTAAAATCTTTTCTGAACAACTAGGTTGGATATTGTGTCAAATTTCGCATTTCCAGTGTTGAAAATTGCTAAAATAAAATCGAGTTAAGTAAATAAGGTGCAGAGCTTGGATTACGACAGAGCAAGGCTATAGGTGCAGAGCTTGGATTACGACAGAGCAAGGCTATAGGTGCAGAGCTTGGATTACGACAGAGCAAGGCTATAGGTGCAGAGCTTGGATTACGACAGAGCACGACATAACTTGGCGTCTCTTGGTTGAAGTCATTTCGTTATTTCGTCCTTTCTCTGATTTGCTGGTCACGTTTGTATATAAGTGTTAAATTTTTATTGATTGATTATTTTTAATTATGTTCAGTGTAATCTCTATATTTTCAAGTCTATCTTTTTCTAAAATTATTACGAAACATTAGGGATAATCATCGGAATTACTTGCTTTTGTATTGAAATAATTTATGGCTGATGCATCTGGGAATAGGGAAATAATTTTCTTCACTATTAGGGGCCACCATGCAAGATCTGTCTCGGCTCGTTAGCAATTTTCGAATCATAGTTTAAAAAATTTGTTCTTATTTTTCGATATCGCCCAAATTTAGAGCGGTACTTTCCGTTATCAGAAAATATCGCGCAAGACGTTCATAATGAAAAATGAGCAACAAAGCCATGTTGTGTTTGAAACCAATAGTAACGCGTCTAACTCGAGTGCAGCAAGTCTTCTAACCAATCGACTGTGGTCTATGACGAAAGCTCCTGTAACTTCATTGATTAGGGTTAAGCAAATAATGAAACATTCAGCATATCACCATTAGCAGCTGCTGACATTTGCTGAAGTTTTGATGCCAGCTAATGCGAGTATAATTGAAGCCTCTGACATGTGCCATTTAAGGCGTGGTCATGAAACATGAATCGCAACGCATGCTTTTTGAGACCAAGCAAAGCTGTTCTGAATTTACATGATTAGTTTTCTAAAATTATGAATACGGGAAGTCAAGTCATTTCTAAAATCGGTAATAGAATTATTTCATTGCTTCTTTATTTTCGTTCTAAGAACTGTTGTGAACTACGTCTTTTCGGGTGTCAAATCTGTTTCCATGCCGAGGAATAACATCATAATCACGGGAATGCATCGACTTCACCAATTACGCTGGTCGTGCTCACCTCTGGCACCACTTTAATCACTTTAAAACGCTTGGGTATCAGTCAGAATGACACGCTGCTTATTTTATACATCATTCGGCTGGTTGTATCGCGCAATAAAGACTTTCATAATGGGTAATGAGCAACAAAGTCATGTTGTCTTTGAAACCAATAGTAACGCGCACAACTCGAGTGCAGCAAGTCTCTTAACCAATGGACTGTGGTCAATGATTAAAGTTTATATGGTCATCGGCCCAGCCTCCAGGGCAACAAAGCCACGTTGGGTTTGCAACCAATAGTAACGCGTCCAACATGTAGCTTTCAGGGAGTTAATGAATACCACAAATGAACTTATTTGCCGCTGAATATTGTAATCGTACGACACACAGCTGAGTGTAACTCGATGATGACTCGCGCTTCACTGAAAAGCCATTAATGTGTAACCAAATTATGTTTAAATCGACGATGTTACAGAGCGTTTCGCATAATCTTCCCTATGTTGCATCTGTCCAACGTGAGATTTTGTAAGGTTTATTCAAGGTAATAATGTTACTACAATTTGTGACGTGCATTTTCTACAATTTCTACCAGTAGTTTTCTACTTCTAGCAATTTCTCTCGTATACGCTTCAACGAATCCGCGCATATGAATAAATTATCCAGCAGCAACAATTGCTATTTTTTATTTAAATTATATTCGAACTTTCAGCAAGCGTGGACGTGTAGTATTTTTCTTATCGTGGATAACAGCCTTTCACGTAACAAATTTACGCGTTATAGTATTTCTTCACTAGACTCTTATAATAATATTGGTAGTTATAAGAAAGTATTTTATTTTGTGATAGTAAATTCCATAAAATTCTGTAATCAAAATCTCAATTTAAAATCCATCATTTGAACGTACCTTCATTGAAATAGGCTGATTGCCGCATGATGCAAACACTGGTGTGGTAAATTCAACTTAATACGTTGTAGGCTAATCATTTCACATGGGATCTGTCTCCATATTTTATCGGGCTCAGCTTAGTATGCGTTAAAATTTTTTGATTTGGGAATGCTCGTCAATCTTGATGATTAAATATATGTCTTTCAATGCTCGGCTAGGATTGCAGCCTTAATTTGTAATTTCCAAACCATTGCAGGAAAAATGGCGTTCACAGGAGGGTCTGCCCTACTGACCAAGAAGGTCCCTGGTGTGTTGGCTTGCCTGGACTTGTGCCGTAGCAACGAGCGCTGCGTCGGCTTCAGCTACAATGGTGACCTACAATGATAAACTGGCGCATGATAAGCAATCTTTTTTTTTTAATTATGTGTGAGAAATTTTAAACTTGAATTCAAACACCGGCTTTCTAACAAATTTTCAATTTATTGACAATAGCAGTGAGAAATTTTAAACTTGAATTCATAACGGTTTTTCAATCATCTTCCAATTTATTGACAATAAAAAGCCATTTTTAAAAATAATAATGACGTAATCATCACAGTTGCCAACATCCTCTATAATAGCTGCCAAAAGGTCGTTCCGAGTAATTTAGTCTCAGTAAGCATAAAAGGAAATAGGTCTCTTGGTATGAACATTCAAGTTTAACGGGTATACAGTTTAAATAGTAAATTTGCGCAGAGGTTTGATGTTAAGTGAAATTTTTGCGAAACTCCAAGTAAATTGAGAGAATAGCAGCAAGTGATAGTAAATTGTGAACGACCAAAACAATATTGTATGAGCCGTGAGTGTCATTGTAGCGTGGACTTCCCACACCACGACGTGTGTAGCAAATAGCAATTGTTCTTAGGATTGCCTTTAGTTTACAATTCAAATCTGAATTGAACGACCAAGCTGGTAGTCATTGAGTTTCCCATGAAACGGAAAATATTACTGTCTGAAAATCAATTTGCATATACATAAAAAAAATAATAATTCCAGTAGCCTTGGTTCCAGTACCATTAGAATAGTGTAAATAACTATTAAATTTTCAATTATCATCATTTTTTTCATGAAAAATAGCAAACATTATCTCCTCGTCATAATAAAATATTATATAACTAATTAGATTTTTGAGACGACATTGAAGAAAGAAGCGGAATTTATCACCGTTTGAATAATTGGTAAATTTGAGGCGTCACATGTCAGCCTAGTTCTTTATTGAAGTCCCACTATTCTATTATTAAACTATTCTAGTAGTTTAATACTAGAATAGTATTAGAGAGTTACTACAGTTTACTAGAGAGTTTAATATACTACATGTATATTATAGTACATATTACATGTAGTATATTAGTATATTAGTAATATGTACTAGAGTTTACTATGTAATATAATATTAGAGTTTAATACTAGAATAGTATTAAACCATGTAATCTATGAAATTGATAATCACACATATTAATTTAATTGCTACTAATTTAATTTCCATTAGGCTTTTATCATTCACTGGGATGCATACACTTAGGACTTAAGAATTTTTAACCTTACTACAGTAAATTTGTTACACCGCTTGGCTATGATAATTAATCAAAAGCAATGCTTGTTCGATCCAGTTGAAAATTTTCCCAACATAAATAGATCAAATTTGTTTCAAATGAAATCAAGTCAACAATTTCACATTCACAGAATTAAAAATAAATAAATTTGCGGTAGAAATTTTACTCGAAAAAAGCACTGTCGTCAGTTAATTCTTACTTCAGCATCGAACGATTATGATGTATAAACTGGTTCATAATAACGGTCTCACTCCACACTTGGAAAAGTTAGTAAGACTATTTAAATTGAAATGCAATTTTTACCCATGTGTAATCCCGGTGTCATTCCACGTGTCATCATAATCCACTTAATCCATGCAACATGGCGTATCAAAGCGGCAATCAGGGATTGCGTTTCTGTTTGGATAATAGATCCATTTGATTTTGTGAGAGCATTAATATTGTGGCCAACAGACGTATATGATTGAACATGACGAGCGTCGCCAGCCTCGCATGCGTGGCCATATTAGACTTTCCAATTGAATATTTAATCAACATTGATATAACTGTCGTTACACTCTGGGGTTTTAAATTGAACGTTCATAAACTTTAGCACTTTAATGAAAGTCCGTGAATGGTAAAAGTGTTCGAGGGCAAACGGGAACTTAATAAAGAGCGGTCAAGTACATGCTGCATTAAAATGCACTATTTCTATATACTTTACTAGTATTCATATGAACAGGAAGTAATATAAGTGCAATTTTCGTTATTTCATTAGATATTTACGAGGCCGAATGATAATTAATGTATCATTGATCAGTAAGAACCGCTGTTGGCAAAACCATAACCACATCTGCATACTGAGGACGAAGTTTTCGATAATCCATATAACAACCTTCGTTCGGTATTACTTTAGATTGAGTGCATCCAAAAAAAGGGTGTTTTTTAATTATATGTTTTTTGGGGTGTACATTAAGAATCTGAAATCCGTTTTTGGCGGTCGGCATCGGAAAACCGATTTTTTTCTTATTTTTCATATATTTTCTATAGAAAACGACAATGGGGCAGCCGTGGGGAACCGGGGGTTTTAGGGGGGGACAAACCCGAGGTTCTAATTCATAAAAAAAAAATCGGGCAAAAAACGGCAAAATCTGCGAAAAATTGGAAAAAATCGGATAATTTTTTTGACTGGAAATGATCTACAGTATATCGATCTGGGAATGCCTTAACGCGCCTAAGCTGCAACCTCCTGGGTGGTGCGGAATAGCAGTCTACATCCTAACCTAACCTAACCTAACCTAACCTAACCTAGCACGATTTTGGGGTTTTACATAGGTTTACAGTCATTCCCAGATCGATATAGATCATTTCCAGTCAAAAAAATTTCCGATTTTTTCCAATTTGTCGCCGATTTTGCCGTTTTTTGCCCGATTTTTTTTTGACGAATTAGAGCCTCGGGTGTGCCCCCCCCCCTAAAACCCCCGGTTCCCCACGGGTCCCCCATTGTCGCTTTCTATAGAAAATATATAAAAAATCGGAAAAATCGGTTTTCCGATGCCGACCGCCAAAAACGGATTTCAGATTTTTAATCTACACCCCAAAAAACATATAAGTAAAAAATCACCTTTTTTTGGATGCACTTAATCTAAAGTAATACCCAACCATCCCTTGGATAACTCATTTTGCTGCTGTTATTACGATTTTCAATCCAAGGATAGTCTGGAGACTGAAGAGGGGATAGACTATGTATCCCACATGAAGAGGGGATAGTCATGGATAGCGATCCTCTGACTATCCCCTCTTCATGTGACATCTCCACTGACAAAAATGTTGGATATTCAAAGTTCGAGGCATACGGATGCCTTTCCGGGTTAATTACACCGCAAATTTCAGAACGTCAATAAAAGAAACGCTGCTGCAGCCCCGGGACCGTACTTTCAAAACTCGCTAAGTGAACGTAAGTACTTACGCTCTATTTTCTTGTCTATGATTGGTGGATTTTACTTGAAAGGCCGTCAATGATTGGCTGATGAACTTACGATCTCTTAACTTTTTTTGAAAGTTTGGGCCCTGGCCGCTAATGATTTGTGTAGTAAATAATGAAGACTTAGGGGATCCAAACTGTATTCAGATCAACGACAAGAGACCTGATATAAAAGAAACGGACATATAACTTATATATATAATAACATCATACAGTTAAAGTTAGCATATGTCAGAAACAACATTTTAGAGATGTGAAATATAACCTCCGGTAATACTCCTAATATGAAATTTATTCATTCAGAATAACTTCTTTGATACAACTTGTTTGAGATGGCAGGGTATTACCTTCCTTTTGAAACCTCTGGACGTTCTTACACGACCCCACCACATCATTCGTAATCTTAGGCATGGCTTAAGCATGGCTAAATAATGGCTAAAGCATGGCTAAATAATGGCTGAGGCATGCTAATGAATGGCTAAAGCAAGGCTATAACACTGCTAAAACATGACTAAAGCATCACTAAAACATGGCTAAAGTATCACTACAGCATGACTAAAGTATCACTAGAGCATGGCTAAAGTATCACTAAAACATGGATAATGCATAACTAAAGCATGGCTAAAGTATCACTAATACATGGTCAAAGCTGTATTAAAACATGGCTAAGGCATAACTATAGCATGGCTAAAGTATCACTAAAGCATGGCTAGAGTGTCACTAAAGCATGGCTAAAGTGTCACTAAAGCATGGCTAAAGTAACACTAAAGCATGACTAAAGTAACACTAAAGCATGGCTAAAGTGTCANTAAAGCATGGCTGAAGTATCGTTAAAGCATGGCTAAAGTATCACTAAAGCAGGTCTAAAGTATCACTAGAGCATGGCTAAAGTATCACTAAAGCGTGGCTAAAGTGTCATTAAAGCAGGGCTAAAGTATCACTAAAGCATGACTAAAGTATTACTAAAGCATGACTAAAGTATCACTAAAGCATGGCTAGAGTGTCACTTAATTAGCATGGCTAAAGTATCACTAAAGCATGGCTAAAGTATTACTAAAGCATGACTAAAGTATCACTAAAGCATGGCTAGAGTGTCACTTAATTAGCATGGCTAAAGTATCACTAAAGCATGGCTAAAGTAACACTAAAGCATGGCTAAAGGATCACTAAAGCATAAGCTAAAGTAACACTAAAGCATGGCTAAAGTAACACTAAAGCATGGCTAAAGTATCACTAAAGCATGTCTAAAAAACTAAAGCATGGCTAAAGTATCACTAAAGCATGTCTAAAAAACTAAAACATGGCTAAAGTATCACTGAAGAATGTATCCCCTGGCCGCTTGTGTGCAGGAGTGTCGTGCCAGCTCAGAGACACGGTGTCGTTCGTCGCCGCCTCGACAGTTTGGGTCTCATACGTCATCACTCAACAGCCTGACCTCAACGTATTGGTGAGAATCCACACTCTAATGCTCTCTTTGTATTTTTGTCCAAATAAATACATCAATATGTCTGTTAAAGATCAGTTGACATAATATTAATTCTGGTATAATTTCTATAATATAATATTAATTCTGGTATCTTTGGCACTACTGATATGCCGTCGCTGTTGAAACCTAGTCGGCTTTATATAGGTTCATGAATCAACTGGTCTACCTTGTCTATCATTAACGAAATTTATGCAGGACATAAATAATCAGCTCTTTTGAAATAAGTTAATTCCAGGGTTTGGCCGTATTTGCTTCGAGTTAATTTATTACTACAAGATGAATTTATTATTATTGTAATAACAGGGCGTGAAGCGGCTAGACTTACCATGAGATAAGGGTTATGAGAAAAGAGTTACGAAGAAAGGGTAATAAAAAGGGTCAAGGAGGAATGGTCATGGGTTAAAATGGGGAAGTTTGCCGCTATGACGAATCTTCGGTGGAGGAGAACCGTCTTCCACCTTGAGTGACGCCCGGTGAAGCCTTCCTAGGACACACGTCATATATAGGATACAACCATGACCTCACAATGAGAGAAAGAGAAACCCAATGTCTCAAAAGTCTCGATAATATCTCACCTGATATAATAACCGACAAAACTATGCGTACAAGTTGTTTTGAACAATGTTTACTACGTAATCATTCATTTGCAACAGGATCCGTGTGCCAGCAACCCATGTCCTGACGCCAAAGTTTGCGTTCGTTACTCGATCCCTGCCATGCTACCTTACCACCCCGAGTATGCCCTCAACTTCTCGCTGCCTGGCTACGTCTGCACCAGTGCTGCATCCTTGCTTGCCCAGCGTGATCAAGGCAAAAGTGAGTTCGTTCATATGCTGTGTTATGTCAATTAAACATGACTTTTTATTTTCCTTACCTCTTGACAAGGCACCTTTGAGCAAAATTACAATTCGTGCCTAACCTTTTATGAGAGAATTGATCAGCTTACGACCTCATTTAATGTACAGGTGACGCGTCCTCACAGTAATTCCCTGAAAGCTTCTTCTTAGTCAGCAATAGAATAATTTGTATTAGAATCAAACAACGGAATATAGAAACCAAACTACGTCATTTCATTGTCACCGCAAAACTGAGTGAGGGGACGATTCTACACTTTCATTTCTCCAAATAATAGGTACTGCAAATCGCCACTGTCTTTCGTTTGTAGATTCAGTGTTGTAACGGTCTAAACCCAGCTCACGTTCCCTAGACAGGATGAACAATCCAACCCTATGGGCCAATTGCAACTCAACGGTAGGAAGAGCCGACATCGAAGGATCAAAAAGCGACGTCGCTAAGGACGCTTGGCCGCCACAAGCCAGTTATCCCTGTGGTAACTTTTCTGATACCTCTTGCTAGAAACTCACTTCAGCAACGAGCGTAGCCTGGAACCAACGCTCGATCGAGCGGGTCCGGGACCATTGGCTCGGTCGTGACGTTCCTCTCGTACTGGCCACGACTTCCATAGCAACACAGAGGGGTTGGGCCGTCGTTCCACAGCAAAAGGAACGATCGGCCATCCCCAGAGACCACAGGAGGGTAAAACTAACCTGTCTCGCGACGAACTGGAACAATTCAAACAACACCAGGTGCTCGTGGCATTTTTGCGTCAATGGCCGCAAAAATACGAATGGATATCTTCGTGATTTCCGTTAAGATTTTTTGTAATATGTGACCAACCTATATCATTCACATGTATTGGAAAAGAGTGCGGTTGGTATTTTTTTACTTCCACAGCATTTTACCAGTATATGTAAAAATGTTGCTAGAAATGCATATGTAAAATGCTAGAACTCGCAATGAATTAGTATTCCACCTGATTCAATCACGTCTCTATCACGATCATCACGGCGCTTGATCCAGACGTATTAGAAAAAATAGTCTAATAAATCATTGCCAGCCACTACAAATTAGAGACTCTAAAAATCTTTGAAGCAAATGCGGAGCCTTAAGAATTTTTTTGTGGTCTACGTTCGTTTAAATCGCTTGCCACATTGCTGATTGGTAAGATCATTGCTCTGCTTCGTGTTTGGTTATACATAGTGAGCCAACCACCCCATAATACAGATGCAGCTTATAGTTGTTAACCACACGCATCCTTAAAAGTTAATACAGTTAAAGATGCGTCAAAGTGCGATAGCAAATTATATTGATAGTTTAGTTGATTGGGTTGATGCGTGGAACGTGCGTTTTAATGCTGGCAAATGTAAAGTACTTCACCTCGGTATGATAAAAGAAATGAACAGTAAGATTACAGTATGAGAAGAGATGGTTGCAACGAGTGACTATTGCGAAGTCGACAATGGAAATGGATTTATTAGTTTATGTCGACAAGGAGTTTAAATTTTAGAAACATACTGACAAGCGTGGTAATTAATCGAATAAACTGCTTAGACTGATCAGACGCTCTTACGATTTCTTAGATGCATAAGCAATAAAGCTGGTTTTTTTTGTCGCTGTAGTGGAGTTGGGACATATATTGTGGTAAGGGAAACATGAAAAAAAAATTTTAGTGTTCAAATACGTGTATTAAGGATAATGAATCTTCCTAGTCTATGTTATCGACGTCTGCGTGGTGATCTCACAAGTATACCCATGGTTGATACAAGGTCCCAGAAGCATTACAAGAATATGAAACAAGAACCAACACCAGGGGCCACGGCTATATACTAAAAAACTGCGTTGCCACTCCTCCACGCAACAACACTTCTCGCTTCGAGTCACCGACATATGGAACCCTGATTACATCGTTGACGCTCCGATTGTAAACGCGTTCATGAACAGACTAGATAAGCTATGGAGAAATATAATTTTTGACTTGAAATATGCCTAACACCATACGAACCTGTAAGAAATCTATTAGCTATTTCAAACTAACGTCACTTTTGAAGTGATCTATTCAAATGACCAGTTTTTAGATCTCCTGTGAACATGCCACGAAGAGTACAAGAATTGGTGGCAGGCCACAACAAGCCTATTCTTCAGCGCCGACATCACCATGATGATGATAAGATGACAAACAAATAATGGACGGTTGCAGATTAGTGAGGAATTTCCAGCATTTAATTGAGACTTGTGATGATTGCAATGTCCTCCTTCAGTTTTGTGACGACGTGAAAATTCAACGACACAAAAATCTCATTATCGTGAGGAAATTGGGGATTGAGCGTTCATCATCATTGAGCAGTGTTTATATTTAAGTAATTCATAACATATTTGTCAAAGTTTATGGGCTATTGTGTTTGAAGCCTCGCACCGCTTGTTCCTCTCAAAACAATGTTTGCAAGGAATGCGGTTTGTTCTCTCATATTTTGGATTAAACCAGATCAACACTGTTGGGGGACTATCTCTTGTCAAACTAACGTCTCCCCGACACATAGCACGTGATCGTTCTTAAAAACTTTAATAAACTTTTCAAGGGCAAGGATTTTCTTCAATGAATAAACAGTTTCAAGTAAATATAATTAAAAATAAATAAATAGAAACAAAACACAACAAACCTAACACCCTAATCCTAACCTGACTTTAACTTGACTTTAACCGTGCGTTTCAATCACTTTCACTTTTGCCAGGCACCAAATATTGTTGCCAGGCACCAAATGGTGTTGCCAGGCACCAAATATTGTTGCCAGGCACCAAATGTTGTTGCCAGGCACCAAATGTTGTTGCCAGGTACCAAATACTATGATAAAATCCTTCATGCCTGTGAAATCCTCCTCCTTTCATAGAACTGCCGAACTCTATACTCCTAACACAGGTCTCCAACTTCGAATTTCTACGATATATCTTTTCGTAGAGAAGTAATTTATAGCCGGGCGCAATATCTCCAACTTCATATCACTGCTGTGGAGTATCTACAGTATGTTAGCCAGTGAATTAAAAATAGACTCGTTTGTATAACTTAAAGAGGTGTTTATGAAGAATTTAGAATCAGTAATTTCTTTAAACTTTTGTGTAAAATAAGACCAATTAACTTACTCAAAAATTAAAGAAGAAAAAAAAATACGCAAGTTTAGTGCCCTGTAAATCAACGTAAAATATGTAAATCTCCTTGATACTGGTACAGTGCCTTGCTAATTAATGTAAGTATTAAGTAAAATTAAATGCACAAAATATTGGCACCTAATTCACCTTCTTTATCACCAAAAAATATCCAAACTTGCTCAAAGAGCAGCAGAACCATTTGTCAATAATATTAGAGCACAAAACTAAAAAACTTTAAACTTTAAACTTTACTTTGTTAAATAAGTATTCATAAGAAAGTTAAAACGCCAAACTATAACATATATTAAAACTATAATGGGATCTTATGTAAAGGAAGAAACCTTGGTTTGAAATATATGGAGCTTTGCTCATTTTTTCATTATCTAAAGCGGATCGTCTTTTCAATTTTTGGAGTTCGGTTTTGCATTAGAGCGGAAAAGCGATGGATGTGAATAAAACTATGTGTGCAAGACCCCTAGATTTATTCTTTACTGATTTGATTGTCGTTTGAAATCATCAAATATACGAAAAAATAGTATATAGATATATATGAAATTTTCGCATATTGAAGTTATTTTATGAAATTATTTTTTCATTTCATATATTATTTACGTCTCGAAGGTGTCATCATGCTGCCAGTTGTTATTATATAGGTCAAGTAGTTCGTAATTCAATATCTAGGTTGAAACTAGTTTGGAAAGAGAGTTCTGATGCCTTATGTCTAAACAAATACTCAAGTTACAATTAAAGGAGTATTAGTCATTTGTATAATGACCTTCCAAAATACGTACATTACTGCTATAATACTACAAAGACATGAAGGTGATAATATACATACATCTCTATACATCGGAACATGCATAATAGAGATGATATAATGATGGTTTTTACCTATTGCGTCTCTCAAGTAACAAAAATTATTTCGGGCAAAATTTTAAAATATCGACATAAGCTCTACCCTCATATTTTTTAAATTTTTTTTACGCTTCTCTTATAATGAAGATTATGAGGTAAAGCTTTGAAACTTGAAACATATGTTCTAAAGACGTTTTTGTGATGAATTCTGCCCACTGTGACCTCTAAAAATCATAGCTAGATTTTTAGGATTTTTTTTCATATATATGCTATTTGTCATGTTTTTGACAATTTCAAACGGCCTTCGAATCATGAAAGAATTAACCTAGGGGTCTAATTACTTCCCCGACTCGCTAAAACAAGAGATCATAATTTTCATCTTTAAACTCAACACCTAACAACACCAAGTCCATAAATACAGGCAGATTTCATTTCCAGACATACACGGAAAGCTTTTAGACAAAATATTCTACAATAGATTATACAAACACTTCATTATTCAAAAAACTCACAGTGCAAGACAACATGGTTTTAAGAAACAATGATGGTCACGTACCGCACTAGCTCCATCCGCGAAACACTCGCCACACTCTTAGCACTATGACATGTCACTGACATATTGGCCTCGAAGTACCCACGTCCTTCGACAAAGTTTGGCTCACCGAACTACAATGCAAAATCATGCAACTCAACCTCTACCCGTCCTTTACCAAAACACTTTCAGATTACCCTATATAGACAAAACAACATCCATCAGAATAGGCAATCAAGTCCTCCATTAAAACTCCACACTAATGACCCCCAAGGGGCTTGTCTCTTCCACACTCTATACAGCTTCTCCCACCACCACTACACGACACGAAATACATAGCTTTCGCAGAAGACATAACACAAATAAACGCTGGACATAACCCACACTACCATACAACACTATAAACACAACATGTCGTACAACAGATCAACACACTCGAAAACAAATTATTTAATTAATGCATTTAAAATCATCTCCATCTTTCTGGAAAACATTTACGATATTTTCATAGACAACACCCATTATCTAAACTCAAACAAAGGAACAGTTTTAGGATTACATTTCACCACAGCTTATACATAAATACAGCTCATAAAAAAGCAATGGCCTAACAAATG